GACAGCAAGCTTGATAAATATTCCCGATAAGCTATTTTTAAAGATGTTAAGTGTATTTCAATAGTTAAAATTGCTCAGGAGAATGTATAAAGCGAAGAAAGAAGCGAGATAAGTTCACGTACCACAGACTACGCCGAAACCTTCCCACTCGCGTAGAAGGATTTCCCGCTACGGCTGGATGGGAACCACTGACATGCGCAATGACTCGTTTCTGGACAATTTTACTTCCGGTAGCCGTAGCAGCGCCAGCCGTAGTGATTTGCTTAAACTCCCTATTAATATCGACTGTTGTCACACGCTTACACGAGGCGAAACTGGTATAAAAGGTACTGAATTGAATTCGCGCAATTAAAACAAGCGGAGAAGGAAATAAAGGTCAGCAGTTTCTACTTTAAAGTGATAAAGGTTTTATCCTGATCCTTCATTTTAAACTTAGTACATTTCTTAGCCTTCCTTTGATACATTTTGTTAAGGCTGAGTTGTGACACCGTGTGAGATGATAAACACATGCAGCCATTTTCGAAACCCTAATCAATAGTAGAGATTAATATTTTAATCGACGTCTTCCGTGGCGTTGCCTGACTGCTTAAGGTCCCTAATGTCAACTGTTGTGACACGCTAACACGCAACAAAACTGATAAGAAAAGTACTGAACTGATTCGGGCAATGAAAACAATCGGAGAGAATGAAGGTCTGAAGTTTCTACTTTAAAACGATGAATTTATCACAAGCCTGTCACTGAGAGCATAAATGGGGAAGTAGAGCATTTTATACTTGCTGTGAAGCTAATGCGCATGAATTTTAAAAACATGATCACCTGCCAGTCTCAGAGTTCATTTCGGAAATGGCGACTCTAGTTCAGATGGAATAGTCCGTGTTCATTGTTTTCATTGCAGTGCGTTGTAGGAGGTTTTCTCTTTACGGTGGCTGGCGTGAGCAAATTCAAAGACTAGTTTTCGCAACACAGCGGTCAAACACTACGTACGCACGAGAGTTAAAAAACAAAAAATTCCTAACTATTCCCATGCGTGAGACAAATAAAAGAGGGGTTTTGGGTCTTGTTTTATTGTGAGGTATCCAAACCATTTTTAACGAGACCTCTTCGTTTCGGTAATGAAGGCAAATGACAGATCCTTTCTTCTACCCTCGCTGCACACATTGTTCGCTGTAAACATTGACCTGCTATCGTTACAAATATCTTGTGTGGTTCTGGTTCTTCTTTCTTTTTTTTTTTCACAAATCTCCCTCATTGTTTAACGGTAACTCCACCATGAACACAACAAAAGAGCATTTACAGCCAGCATGGCAAAGTTTACGGACAAATTCATCCCGCCGCCGTGCAAAGTGTTAAAAAAAATTATGTATAAACTAACACAGAGAGGGTTAAGTCTAGAATATCATTGTGTATCAGTTTCGTCCTTAGAAACTTCAAACTTTCCCTAAAAACTGCAAAAATCTACGTCTCACTTAGATTCTCCATGTTTACATTAACAAATTATAAAACTTAGTGCTCATGTGTAATCATTTGACCGCTGTGTTAGTTTCTGCGTGCTTTTCTGGTCTTGAAATATTTCAGTATTAAATAAACTCTTTCGCCACAACTCGTATCGAATGCGTAAACAAAAATGGTATAAACCAAATGGTAAACATCACAGCGCACACTATTGAGCTATGGATGCACTTGGAAGGTTTGCTAGGCACTAAAGAGGCTAGAGTCGCTCTCGGCTATCACCTCGCACGACTCTTACGCTTCTTTCGTGCCTAGCAACCTCCCAGGCGTTTCCATAACTCAAAAGTGTACGCCGTGGTGTTTATGTTTTAAGTGTGGACCTTTGTCAGATCTAGAGCGGATGACGCTCAACCACGAGCCAGCTCCACCTCCGTGATAGTTAATATATAGATTTAGCCAAGCCTAACTGCGGAGCTCCCAATACGTGAAAATTTTGCAATAAAATTTCTTTACATATATTAAAAATTTTTAGCCAAAAATTCATTCAGTATAGATTAAATGTAGTAAAAAATTAAATTTAATATTATATAGAAAGCCGTAATTTAGCCGTAAATTAACCGCGAAATTTTTGGTTTGTAATAATAATACAACCAAAAATTTCGCAGTTAATTCACGGCTAAATTTGTCGCGAGATTATTGCAAAGACATATTTTATTTCACCGTTAATTCACGGCTAAATTGAGTGTTATATGTTTCAAACCAAATATTTCTCCGTTCATTCACGGCTAAATCGAGTGTCTCATATATTTCAAACGCAAAAATTAGCCGTTAATTCACGGCTAAATCGAGTGTCCATAAATTGAAACCAAAAATTTCGCCGTTAATTCACGGCTAAATCGAGTGTCACATAAAACGATGGCCCTCTAACTCCAAGCCTGTGGAATATCAGGGAACCTATACAATCTGATTGAAAATTACTTATCTGAGAGAAAACAGTTTGTTGAGGTAAAGGGGCAAAGATCTAATGAAGTGGCAGTCAAGCTTGGCGTAACCCAGGGATCAGTACTTGGCCCCAGACTTTTTAGTATTTACGTCAATGATCTGCCAGAGGTGCCAAGTTGTGGAAAGATGGAAATATTTGCTGACGACACAACTCTATATTGTATAATTAGGCAATTCCATGGATAATGTCAGCCTTAAGATCCAAACTTCTTTAAGTGAAATAGCTAAGTGGTGTAACAGAAATTGTTTAAAAATTCATCCCGATAAAACTGAGGTTATGCTTCTTACCCGTAATGGTTTCATTGGTCCTTTAAGACCAATCAAACTGGGTTATCATGCCATTAACTATGTCAACAAGTCATACTGCCTTGGGTTTATGATTGACAATAAGTTAAGCTGGAGACACCACATCAAAGATCTATCAATATCTCAGTATGGCCGAGAAGGTGAAGCAACGTACTGCACAGGTTTAAAAGCCTTCCCTCTCATATCTTGGAGTCCATATATTTTAACGGAATTTTCCCAAGCATCACTTATGGAATTTGTGTATGGGGTAACTGCAGTGAAGCAAAATTAGGGTTTTAGAGAAAATTCACCTGAGTGCTGCAAAGCTTATCTTCAAACAACATGGAGGTAATGATCCCATCACTGATACCATCTTCTAGGAAATCCATAAGATATTTCTACAAGATGAGGCTCCTTTCTCTGACACACATGGCTTTTTATGGGATTTGTCCTGAGCAGGTTTTAACAATTACTAGGAAAAGTCCAAATATACGAAATATGAGGGACAATTTGAAACTAACTCTGGAGAGACCAAACTCCAATGTTGGAAGACTGTCTTTTAGACATAGGTCTGCAATAGCTTGGAATTCCTTACCTCAGTCAGTTAAGAGCATAGAGGATCATAAGAGATTTAAAAACAAACTCCGTTCTCTTTCAACAATTATTGAGAAGATATATTTTAACCTGCGTTACCAAATAGACTATGTATGTATGTATGAATGTATGTATGTATGTATGTATGTATGTATGTATGTATGTATGTATTTAAACCAAAAAATTTCGCCGTTGATTCACGGCTAAATCGAGTGTTATATATATTCTAAGCGCAAAAATTAGCCGTTAATTTTCGGCTAAAGCGAGTGTCAAATGTAGTCCAAACGCAAAAATTAGCCGTTAATTTTCGGCTAAATTTGTTGCGAGGCTATTGCAAAGACTTAATTTAGCGGTCAATTAATGGCTAAGTTTATTCTTTGTATAATAATGTCTACTGACTTGGTTTGTGGCTAGGTTTTTGTTATGTTTGTAGACTGCGTTTGTTGCAAAATTCGCCGTTATCTTAACTCTCCTCTCAAGTTCGTAATATTAATGATAACATAAAAGATGTGCTTTTGCCAAGACTCGCCTGAGACACCCCTCCCTTCGTTTTGATAGTCTCCCCTACCCTACCCGTGCAATCTGAGGGCACTTAAGTACGTACGTACGCTCGGTCAGTCACGTGACAACCAAACGAAAACAGGTTGACCATATTCCATGGGTATGGGCGTGGGAGCCCCGCTATTAGTCGTAAGTTGGGACTTTCGCACGGGTGTGTTTAACAGTATATGGCACATATGAAATATCGATGAATAGCCCTTTCTCTCGCAAATGAATTTAATTGGCTCACATCGAATTTCGAGAAATAAATCTTTTTTTCGGTTTTGTTTTATCGCCCTGGCCTTACATTTTCCGTGCTGCCGAAAGCGACTTCACATTTAGCCTCGTTTTCGCGCCTGGCTTTCTGCACCGGATTTTTGATTCTTAAAAACTCGGAAATGGGCCAATTACTGATACTTTATTAAATGTACCTATGTGCCTTACATCGTCAGACACATGTATGCGTCAGTGATTTAATCACATGGGCGACTTTTCTTTTCCGCTCTTCCAGGTTGAATATACAATTCTTCTTGTTTAATTCACCTTACTTTGCACAGCCTTGGCCCGAAATCCATTGTTATAGTTTTTTCTCCTGATCATGAATACTTTTTATGTCCTTCCTGCAGGCTATCTTTTTTTTTTTAATGGAAATTGCAACACATTTTGTTCATACTCGATCGATATAACAAACCTGAAATTTGTTACACTTAGATACGATACATCAATGTTCGTTTTGCAGAGAAAAATAAAGAAGTATTTTGTATCGCGATGGCAGGAAACGACGTCGACTACCGTCAGTTCGACACCGCAGGAAAAGTTTTGTGCTTTCTTGGTTTCCAATTTTTTCCACCGTGCGCCATACAATATTGCAGTGTTTAGTTTTTCTATAGAACCATACCTCCAAAGCGGCCAGCTGAGACCAATAAAGAGTCAGAGGAAAAGCGGAAGCGTGTATCTGAAACTTTGAACGTGGAAAAGGATCAAACCACAGCTGGCTCAGCAGTGACGATACTCCCTGCTTTAATTGAAGCCCTTGTCAGCAGAGTGGCAGACAAGGTGACTCGCCGCCTCCAACCACAGAATACAGAACCATTTCCGGGCCTCCGCTCTGAGGAGTAGCCTCCCAGACATGAACCAGCCCAGGAAGTTGCTGACCCCCAAGACAAAACCAAGTCATTGGTGGAGCACTCAGTATTTCAAGTCAGCCAGTCCTTGGCAGGTGAGCAAAACCCTGTCCCAGGGAGAGTTTTCCCCTCCTGAAGTTTACCAATTGACTGCAAAGTTTCCGATAAAGTGCGGGCCAAGATCTGGGCCAATGGTTTTATTGATTTTGGGGTTTTGCTTTCAAACCCGAATTTTGAAAACAAGTTTAAAATTGCTGTTCAAGTGGTTGATAGTGGTGGTGCACCTTTATGTTTAGAGTCAGCATCTAAACCGCGTAAAATATTTACCATTGATCAATTGGGTTCTTGTTTTTTGGTCTTCGTTGGTGTTTATACCAGTAAGTTTCCTTCAGAAGCACCAAGTTTGATGAAGTATGGTGAAATAATAAGGGATCTGGCAGCCCGGGGACATGACTGGAGATTTTATGAGGAAAATTTCAGCTTCTTACATCAATCACCGTCTTCCTCTATGCCATGGGGAACAATACATGGCGAACTGTGGCTACGTGCACAATCTAGTTTTGCGGTTAACCGCAAGCCAGTTATACATTTTTCAGTAAAGCAGAAGTTAAGAGTTCCTGCTGGTTACCGTTTCAAATTTCACAAAGGCGAGCATTGTGACGGTTGTGTATACAGCCACAATTGCTTTAAATGTGAAGGCAATCACAGGGTCAATTCGTGTACTTTTCGTCGCCCAAGTTCCCCATCTGCCTTCACCCCTAGACTGCCAGGTCCCCATCCTCTAACAATACAGCATTTCGTGGATCCTATCGCCCCAACACTAAGCCTTCCGACCCCAGTAAATCCGGAACGGCTTAAACATCTTTTGACAGGTTATGAACCTACCATATCTGAATTTCTTTTTCGTGGTTTTAAAAATGGTTTTTCTATCCACTTTGAAGGGAGTCATTTTTCCAGTGATTCCAATAATTTGATTTCTGCCATGGAAAATCCATTTGTTGTGAATGCCGAAAGGAGCTGGAAGCCCATAGGCTTGCTGGTCCCTTCTATAATCTCCCCTTTACCCCCTTTTGTGTTTCACCTTTAGGTGTTGTACCAAAAAAGAATTTGGGTGAATTTAGACTAATCCATCATTTGTCCTTTCCCAAGGGGTCTTCAGTTAATGATGGCATACCTCTTGAACACTCCCGGGTGTGCTATGCAACCATAGGGGACGCCATCAACCACATTAAAACTGTGGGAACAGATGCTTATTTAGCTAAGACGGATATAAAAAGTGCTTTCCGTATTTTAACCATAAACCCCATTGACTATGGCCTGTTGGGAATGAAATGGGAGGATAAGTATTACTATGACCATTGCATGCCCATGGGTTGTTCCAGCTCTTGCAAAACGTTTGAGACATTCATTTCTACCTTAAAGTGGATTGCCAGGACAAAGTTTAAGATACAACATGTGTTGCATTTATTAGATGATTTTTTATTCATTGCTCCATCAGAGTGCCTTTGTCAACAAAAATTAAACATTTTTCTGGAATTCTGTTCATATTTGGGAGTTCCCATAGCGCTAGAAAAGACTTGTGGCCCAGCAACAACCCTTTCTTTTGTTGGTATTGAATTGGATACTGTTTTGATGGAGGCAAAGCTGCCAAGGGATAAACTTGATAAATGTGTTACCACTATCTTAGAATTTCAGCACCGCAAAAAGGTCGCTCTTCGCGAGCTGCAATCACTTATTGGGCTTTTAAACTTTGCATGTTCAGTTGTACAGCCAGGTCGAGCCTTTTTGCGTCGCCTTATTGATTTCACCATTGGCATCAAATCGCCTTCTCACAAAATACGACCCAATCAAGAGGTTAAAATAGACCTTAATCTTTGGCTCAACTTCTTGGAAGATTTCAATGGCAAATCTTTCTTTTTAGATGATAATTGGCTTTCCTATAGCAAACTTAATTTGAACACAGATGCTTCGGGAGCTCATGGTTTTGGTGCAGTATTCGGTAGTCACTGGTGTTATGGGAAGTGGCCCAGTGATTGGGCCTATCGTAATACTGCCATCTTGGAATTCTATCCAATCGTTGTAAGTCTTTACCTGTGGGGCCATGCTATGTGTAATAAGCATATGCTGTTTTTCACTAATAACAATGCTCTGGTTTATGTTATCAACAGACAGTCTTGCAAGGAAAGGGACTTAATGTTCTTTGTTCGAAAGCTTGTCCTGGCATGCTTACGCCACAACATTGTTTTCAAGGCTAAACATACCACGGGCGTCAGTAATATCTTAGCAGATACTTTGTCCCGATTACAGGTACAGGCTTTCAAGCAAATAGCACCTCAAATGGACAGTTCTCCGACACCAGTCCCACTCTGTCTGCAGCCTCAGAACTTCAACCTGCAATCTTAGAGCTATTGTCGTCTAGTCTGCAAAAGTCATAAAAGGTCATGCCGTTTATTTCAACAATTTTCACACAACATTTTCAGGCAGCTTCTTTTTCTCTTCCCATCGCACCCACTACGTTAGCACTTTTTATTGCATATTTATATGACAAAGGGTATGCACCATCCACAGTGGATACCTGTTTCAGCCCTTGCCTATTTTCACAAGCTTTCTAACTTCCCTGACCCATCTAAAAGTTTTTTCATTATGCAAATGCTAAAAGGATAGAGGAAGGAGGGACAACGCGTTAATACAAGATTACCGATTACATTTACCTATTATTCATAAACTTATTGATTCGGCTGAGAGTTTTTCTTGCCCAAATTATACCAAAGTTCAGTTCCGTGCTATGTGCTCATTAGCCTTTTATGCGTCCCTGCGAGTAGGTGAGATGACTGCACTCACTCAGGGAGCATGCCCCCCCATTAAATTATATCAATTGACTCAACTTGTTGACTCTACCGGAAAGATCATGTCACTCAAATTTACTTTCACTGATTACAAACACAATTATAATAAGCCCCCTTTCTCCATTGTCATCAACCGCCAGCCATCTCATCTCAGAGTCAGTCTTACTTTACTTGAAGCGCAGGGATCCTGGGCCGGGTCCACTTTTCATTGATTGTGGAAAACCCATCACGCGTAATCTATTTGTTGAACAGCTTTCGTGGGCTGTAAAATCCTGCGGTCTTGAATCGGTACGATATAAAGATCACAGTTTTCGTATCGGTGCTGCCTCTTATGCTGCAGACAGGGGATTATCTGATTCTCAAATTCGTTCTCTGGGGCGCTGGCAATCCAATGCATTTACTAAATATATCAGGATTCCTTCGTTGTCTACCTAATTTAGTTGATCAACATTAATTTAATTTAGCATTCATACCTCTATATAGGGGAAACTGACTGATTTACAGGGGTGATCAGTCACTTATCTCTCTGATATGCAAGCACTTAAATTCATGATCTTAAATATTTGAAATGCATTTTATATGATATTAATTGACATTAGAGACTTTATTGACTGATCGACAGGGGTGATCAGTCCTATCTCTAGAGCTATACAGTCAATGTAGTTACTGGGATGGTAAAGATTGATTTGGGGTGGCACCACTACTATCTGGTCTCTTAGTACTTTGCAATTAGTATCTACTGTTATTTCATCAAAGATTTTAAAATAATTTCCGATGATTATACATGTTCTGGTTACATAAGTGGGCTGTTAGCAGGGGAAACAGTCTCATGTTTGTCTCATTGAATATCGTTAATTTAAAGTTATACTCTCGACTTTGTACATATTATTATCGAGTGTTTTATAGCCGATTATACATCGCGATGTTCTAGTACATGTATATGGGCTGTTCGGAAAGGTGACAGTCTTGTCATTTTAATATTTGATCTCCGTTTGAGTGCATACGATTCTTACATGATTTCAATGTGATTGTGAATAGTAATGTTCATGGGCTGTTAGCAGGGGCCACAGTCTCATGTTTTATTCTCTCATAATTGAAGGTGTAATTGTTTTTTCTTTGCTGCATTTTCCTCTGGTGGGGCTGGAAAATGATTTCATTCGCCATTTTGCTTTGGCGATTAATTTGCCCTCACCTTCAGTGGGCAGTAGTCACTGTTCTCTTTGTCAGAATTTGCAACAATTTCTTGTAATTCAATTTATTGTATCTTGATTAAAATACGGCTGTGGGTAAAGGCCTGCACCAATTTACTCCAACTTTTGCTTCTTTCCTTTGTCTCCCTGCCCAGTAAACGTAGCTCGGAAAATGCAGATTAGATGTGATTTAATATTATTTAGTTAGTGGAAAACATAAAACTAATTCTTACTCGAACGTAGTCAAGTGAAGTATACACGATACCCACACTATTCCCCTCAATTTATTTATTTTTACTGCCAAAAGTAGCTATTGCTTCTAAATGTATCAGCGGGTTGAAAAAAAATTTCTAAACAACCAGTTATACATTCCGAGTCACCATTAAAAGTCATCTGAACTCAAAATGAAATAGAATTGGTTAGCTGCCTCGCTAATTTTAAAGCTATCGCTCGAGGTTATCGATATAGCGCGAAATGAGCTGATTATTAGTAACCAGCCACATTGTTGTATTCCTTCAGTGTAGCGTACCGTACCAGGTGACCATGCGGCCGTTCAGTGGTTGTACGGGCCTGAAGTTGTTGCACATGGGACGTCCTTCATTATTTTTCAAACGCCTGAACGCATTCATCTGAAAATGAAGGAATGTAATGAATTAGAAAAGAAAGACAGAAAGAAAGACTGTTTCCCATCGATGGCAATGAATGAATGTAATAGGGAACGAGGTACTACACATGGTATTTTTAAGAATGTTTACCAAGTCCTTTGTAACAGACAGATCGTGGTCTCATATGATGTGTGGGGGCCTGATATGGTAGGTATAACCAGGCTATGATATCACACATACTAGAAGCTCTAGGAGGGGAAGGGAGTAGTTCAACTGATTAGCTTTCTCTTGTTAAAACCTGTTAAAAATCCCGTGTGACTGGCTCATTTAAAACCTTTAACGTGATTATCACCACTGTTATTCATTATTTATTTTTATTTGCTCATTTATTTATTTCTTTAACAGTTAAAACCTTAAACATGATTATCACTACTATTATTTATTATTTATTTTTATTTGCTCATTTATTTATTTATTTAATTGTTGCGTGTGTGTGTGTGTGTGTGTGTGTGTGTGTATGTGTGAGAGCCTATACAGTGTCTGTTTAGGTAGCCCGCCTAGAATAGCTTTGCTAACTGCGGGCTACAAAAGCCTTTATTTCTTTCATTTAAAAATAAATGAAGAAATAAAGTCAAAAAAAAAATAAAGGGAGTAAGGAAGTATCTGGCGGGCGAATTTGAAAATCTATCAGAGATAGTGACAAGTAAACTATTCTTACCACTTTTGTGCTTGCAGGAATAGGCTTATACAGCACGATCCAATTAACAGACTGATAGCAGGGAGGGGTGGTCAGTGATCCTTTGTACGAAAAAAAATACGTCCAAGACATAGACGCCAGTGCTGGCACCAAGGTAGCTAGGTGTATGTATACCCGGATCTTAACATCGTCATCTGTTAAAGAGATTTTCAACCTTTCTGAGTTCTGTTATTTTTCTAATTTTAATTTTATATTTTTATACGTAGTCTAGTCGTCGCGAACTTGCAACTTGCAGTTTTGAAACTTTCCATTTTTAATGCTCCAACTCACTTTGTCCGAGAGAATTCCTAACCGTCCTGATCAATACAGGAAGAGTCTAGAGTATTTTGCATCTGTAAGATTCTGCCTTTGTGGAGCGTCAATTTGCGCCTAGAAAACAAGAGAGATGTGATGGACTAAAACTCCCCATATTAAAAAAATTGTTGGGAAAAAAATAAAGACGAAGACAGAACTGATCAAACAACTAAGCAGGGGGGAGAGTATGGAAAGCATAAACGTCCATCAGTGTAGAGACCAGGGTAAAACAAACTAACAAACAAGGAGATGAGGAGCTAAGAGATAAAATAGTAGTCTTACCTGTCTTTGTAACCTTGGTCAATTTATCGTATAACTTCAACAACTCATAATTGTCTCTCCGCGAATTTGTCTCCTGTATTAAAACAAAACAAAACAAAGAACAAACAAAACATCATGCGTTGCTGTTACTCTTTTTTTCTTTATGTTTTAAAAAACTCCAATTTTTAAAAGTAAGTAAACAGCTCTTACTTGCAGGAAAACGCCTATCACGGTCAGGCCATCGGTTTTGTCAACAGCAGTTTTGAAATCTTTGTATTTTGTATTATAATATACCAGATGAAGCTAAAGGAGGAAAAGCGAAGATCTGAGTATAAAAACCAAAGTTGATACCACTACTGACTGTACATCTTAAAAGTCCTGTCCGCTACTGTCCAGTCTAGACTGTTCAGCGCAGACCACGGAAGTATTGTCCTCTCAATTAAAAAAAATTGAATAAAAAGTTACTGCACACCTCTCCAGAGTATTGAAAGCTGTTCACTTTGTGCTCAGATCCTGTCCGGGCTGTACAACCAAAGTGAAAATGGAATTGTTCCAGCTTATATCGATTGCTTCCCCAGGGACCCCCAGCAAGAAAAGCTGTTCCTAAGTCAACGTTAAATGTTGGTGCATGCCCATTGTTAACTAGTTGAGCTCCAATTTTCCTGGTATCCGCATAAAATCCCCTCAGGAATGAAAGATGCCGATGATGGCTTATATTCCTGGTATCAATGTTGATAGGAGACTGGGAATTCCCGGTGCAGTGTCTTGAGACTTTGCCCCAGTCTTTTGGACCGTAAATTGATGACTCTGAAAATACCAATATAATTAATAGGTTCTCTTTATGGCATTCAAACTCAGTGCTCCACATCGACACAGCAACGACTTTTAAAAGGACAGTAGCCGCAGCGTCAGCAATAATTTTTAAGTTCTCTTGGTTTTAAACTGCCAAAAGATGATCAGAAATCAATTGATTAATGTTGGCGCAGAAATTATAATTATTTTCAAAGGCAGTCATATAAAATTCTGAAAAAGAAGGGAGGAAATCAGAAACCTATTGAATCTCGTATGCACTAAAAGCACTCAAAGTTGAATATAGACATAATGCATGTCACACCCTTGGCAGTCACGTGCATGTATCATATAAAGCAACATCTGCACTCCTACCAGTTTCTCCATATTTCCATTTTGATCCTGCAACTGAGGAGATATGTTAATTTTTAGTTGTTTTTCCCTGTTGTTTTGCTTTTGACTTAATACGATACCAGTGGCCTTTTTTCGGATTACAACTTGAGAATATGCGTGTGAGAGACGCCAAAGTTATGTTACTTATTGCTAAAATCAATGTTTTGATAAGCTGCACATTACACGCTTAATGTTTAAATGTGGTAGCTGCTAAAGTAAAAGAACAAAAAGCCATGTTACACGTGTCTCTTAAATATAAACCTGTTTACAATCGCTGATGTTTGAACTGAAATAAAAGCTCTATCAACTGAGAACAAACTGAATCATCTTTGTTGGAGATGGCAGGCAGCTTTCACTGCAGAATGCTTGTGACCTCTTAAGACCCCTCTTAACTAGGTTTACGTTCGAAGAGTTTAACAGTGTCACGCTGTAATAAACAAAATGTCTGATAATCAAAATAATGAAGTGGCCCCAGGTTAGAAAGAATTTGTTAAGAAAAGGCTATGAAATTAAAGATACGAAATTATGTTTTAGACTGGTTCTGACAAGACGGTTGCATACGACCTGAAAATGGGTTAGGAAATTAGACATATTTTGGACGAGCTTTCTTGGCTTTATAGGCCACCAATGCATTTCCTACAGTGCGGAGCTACACCGCTTGCGTTCCGCTTTGTTTTATTTGAAACTTAGAACTTATTCCTACCTTGACAAGCGTTACAGCTCAAACGGCATCTCTTCTTTATGTAGGGGTGTGCGCATCTAAACTTCAACGCCTGGCAATAGTTGCTGTCATCTCGACAACCTAGTTAAGAGGAAACAATGGAAATAAAAACTAAAAAGAGATCATCTGAAATCGTATTCTTTCAGGATGTCTAAAACTAATCCACTGATGTAGCACCGTGAAAATACCTCATCTTATCTTATTTGTTTATTTACAGTATTTGCAGGTGAGAGACATCGGATTTTTTATCTTTAATTCATGATGTATTTCTTTTTTTCTTACGTAACCTTGCTCGCCGGCAAGTTGGTTCAATTTTGGCAGTTTTATATCTATCAATATTTTGATGCCCTGCCAGACTCGAAAGAAGAACGAGGCTTCTATCCTTACAGGACATCGCTGATCGACTACTGAAAAACGCTTCCTTTGGAGAAGTTCGGTTGTAAGCTTAAGTGTTCTCTCGACCGTAGAGAAAGGACAGAGGAAAAAAAGCGCGGTTTAGTTTTGATCTTCCTCTCCTGAAAGTAAACTTTCACATCCGGCCGAAACCATCTGCATATCTTTCCCTCGCGCAACCATGTCCCCCGGGGTCTTTCAGGGTTTTTTCCTTTGCGTGCGTTGTATGTCTATTATTTCAGCTTGGAATGGACAATCGTGCTGAACAGATTATAAGCTTCATCACTCGCCCACATCCAGAGCCTCTCTCACATTTTATATCAAAAAGTATTATGTCATATATACAAGATCGTAACCCCATTAGTGCAATATCAAAAATGAAATTCTTGAATAAAGTTTTCATATAAGCAATAATTTTACCTGAAGCACTGTTGTGGCCTTTGCCTGTTTATAAAATATAATAGCAAATAAAGTAATAAATGATTGTAATAAAACAAAATAAAATCATCATGTTCAGTATATTGCATTTGAAATTTCACTGAGATATCCTTACTTGTCCCAATCGGAAAGACTTTCTTAATTAGAAAACCCCAGAAAGAATGCTGGGGTAGGGAAGAGATTTGACAATTCAGCTTTATATTTCGCTCAACCCATTTTTGTCACAGCTTCTTAAACTCGACAACAAATCCCTTATTTTTGGCGGTTGGGAAGATTCCTCTAAACACCCAAATTTAACCAGCTAACTTGTTGACTATCTGTGTGATAAAACTAAAGAAATAGTCAGAGACCACAATGAAGAGGGCAGCGAAAAAAGTAAACTTCTCGTTAATAGACATAATTATTTATCGAACTTTTTTAAAGAATGCTGGTCCGTTTGCAGCTCCTAAGTAAATCTCATCTAATTCATTACCTCCGTAGTATGTTTTATGTGCCACTGCACTTGGGAGTAAAGCCAAGATCACCAAGACCGCAATTGGCGTTTTGTTTCCTGACATGGCAAACAGGTTGAAGACCACCGACGGAATGAGTCGAACTCCTTTATTATCGAGAGATAATTGCTGATAATCATCGCTATCAATATTTGCTATGTTTATCGACAATAATAACAACTTGAGAAACCCTGCTGAAGTCCTACATGTAATAACTTTCCTAAATGTAACTCAATAAAGTCCTAAATGCAATAACATTTTGTCCTAATTGTAATAAAATCCTAAATGTAATAATATTCGGTTCTAAATGTAATAAACGTCCAATGCAATAGTTTCACTGTGCTTGTGCATCCACATTGAGATGTTAAAGCGTCAAATGTTGCACCAGAGAATCCTTTGACAAAAATTCATGGCGTATTGCAGGCTCGCTCGTTGATTTTAATCCTGGTTTTTTTTGTTTTTTTTTTTTTTTGCGTGAGATGTAGGCCGAGAGGCATTGGCTACAAATCTTCATACTGATTTGCTTTTCCCATCAAATTGACAGACCTCAAAACAATAGGACGCTGACCAATCCAGCCAAGTGACCAAACAGGCTTGGTCAAGAGACTTTATATTGTCGGCAAGTAATTTTTTGCGGGGAAAATACGATTCCTTTTCAATAACCGCGGATAGCGGAAATAAGTTTCTTTGTTTCACGTATCACGGCTGGCATATAGTTCACAGTTAACTGCTTTTAACTTTTAACAATCACGAGTCACGGCATTTAAAAACAGCTGATCACGTTTCACGGAAAACCCCCACATTTACATTTAGAAACGGAGACGAAACGGACGAGATGAAAGTATTTGTCTGACCATTTACTAATGCATATTAAAAAAAAAAAAAATGTGACTAGTTGTCGAAGAGTCATAGCATGAAAACTGACAATTCTTAACCTTGGGATCCTAAAGGAATTTATGAAAAAACAAATCCGAACTTGCGGAGGCATTGTTGCAGTTGTAAACGAACGATAACTTTAATATTACCACTAGTGTTGTTTACCCTTTCAGACTGGAACGATCCAGAGTGTATGAAAGAATTGAAGCGGAAACTGTTTCCAAACAGAATTTACATAAGCTTAAACATTGCCTTTATTCAGGGATAAAACTCGTTAATCGACAGCAGATAAAGGCGTATTCTTTGCATTTTCTTCTCAATATATAGGACATTGTATTTTAATTTCTCCTTAGCGTCTTCCACAAGGTGGAAGATGTGGTGGACATCATGATGGAAGAAATCCAAAGTATCGACGCTGGAGTATTGGCAGCTAAGTACTCTTGAAAAGTCCCGCAGTATGTGTACTTTCCTTAGTCTTAAAACTCATTAAATGGTCTTCAATGTAATCCTTTGCCTCTACTTTAAGTTAGGCTTTGAGAGATATTTCTTTAACCGTGCGAAAAGGTTAGAAAATGTTTTTGTTTTCCGGGATGAGCGATCGCCTCGGTATTCGCTCTCTCTTTTCTGTTGTGACTGTTTAAAAAGGGACTGACATGGGTCATCGATCAGAAAGCGACAACATGTAGAAATCTTTCTTGTCCTGTGAAGAAAAATGCCGTTTGCGCACACAGCGAGCGCTTATCACAGACATTCATCTATATGGTGGTTAGTCTTGCTATATACCTACCTTGAAACTCAAGTTTCTTGACGGCACACAATGAGGCTGACGAGTGTAATGATTTATACTTCGGGAATGCGCAATTATATCACGAAATTCCTCCACAAACTTGTTCTCAGTGATAAGAAGGCGACTGAGGTTGCGCTCCGACCGAGTCCTTCTATTGTTCTTGAGAACGAGGAAATGTGGCGAGATGTGCATTTTTTTTAAGTTTGTTGGCTTTGATGCATGCATTTCAAGTTCAAGAGGACATCATTGTCCCCAATTATGTTCTCTTGGGGAGAAATCATCTTTTCCCTATTCATATAATCCCAAAAATATTCAAGAATTTGAAAGCAATAACTCTCTAGAGAGCTGTCACAAGGTCCGAATTGGGAAACAAAATGTGCATGTTAACAACAAGGTCTGTAAAAAGATCATTTCAAACACGAAGGCGTGCTATATAAGGAAATCTCTCCTAGGAAGACCTAGGCTCATTTGTCACTCACCGTTCACGTGTGCGGGTCAAATTTAAATGCTGGTAGACGAACAAAAGGAGCTAATGAGATATCTATTGTTTACTTGCACCAGCATGGTGGCAATGAGGTAATGTGCAAACCACCTACTTCGATCTCAAATTTACTGCCACAAATAAAGACAGTTTCCATTGGAGAAAGGAAATACAAATCTCAAAAATTCTTGTATTGTGATGAAGACATAAAACAATTTTGAGAAATGCGTCCCCTGTTCTCTGCTTTGGAGTAGCTGTAGCTCAAGCTGACTTGACTCTAAGAGTTCTACATCACACGATGGTTAATTGACAAATAGTCCATTGGGACCTAAGGCTCCTTTTATAGCGCGCCTTCGTCTTTAAACCTATGCCAAGATCGAAAGTATTTAAAATAGTTTTTTCTTTGAATTTCTGTTTGTTTGTTCTCAAGATCATATTTCAAAGTATTGTGAATTGTGCAATACCGCTGGGATGAATTGTCTTAATTCAAAAAGCAAATCTCCCCTTTTAAAGCACATCACGCCACATTTCCTCTTTCTCAAGAACAATAGAAGGACTCGTTTGGAGGGAGACCTCGGTCGCCTTCTTAACACTGAGAACAAGTTTCAGAATGAATATCGTCATGTAATAGTCCCTTTTACAGTTGTGGGCTTGGCGGCCAAGCCTTTGAACAGGAATGAGGCTAAGGGTGACCCTGTTGTGATAGAGACCTGTATCTAGTTAGCATGATAACAAAGTAATTTGCATTTGAAAAGCAGCAACATCTCTATCATAACAAGGTCACCCTTAGCCTCACTCCTGTTCAAAGGCTTGGCCACCAAGCCCACAACTGTAAAAAGGACTATTGCGCATTTCCGATGTATAAATCATTACGCTAATCAGCTTCATTCTGTGCCGTCAAGAAACTTGAGTTTCAAGGCAGATATCTATGATAAGCATTCGCTGTGTGCGCAAGCGGCATCTTTCTTGACAGGACAAGAAAGATCGCTACATGTTGTCGCTTTCTGATCGATGACCCATGTCAGTCCCTTTTTAAACAGTCGCAACAGAAAAGAGAAAGCAAATACCTTAACCAAATACCGAGACGATCGCTTATCCCGGAAAACAAAAACATTTTCCAACCTTTTCGCACTGTCAAAGAAATATCTCTCAAAGTCTAACTTAAAGTAGAGGCAAAGGGTTACATTGAAGACTATTTATTGAGTTTTAAGACTAAGGAAAGCACATATACTGCCAATACTCTTGCGTCGTCACATTGGATTTCATCCAACATAATGCCCATCACACCTTGTGGTATATTTTGGACGACGCTAAGGAGAAATTAGAATACAATGTCCTATATATTGAGAAGAAAATGCAAAGGATACGCCTTTATCTGCTGTCGATTAACGAGTTTTATCCCTGAATATAGGCAGTGTTGAAGTTCATGTAAATTCTGTTTAGAAACAGTTTCCGCTTCAGTGGTTTCATACACTCTAGATCGTTCCAGTCTGAAAGGGTAAACAACACTAGTGGTAATATTAAAGTAACTACATCGTTTGATTACAACTGCTACGACGTTTCCGCATGTTCGGATTTGTCTTTTCATCAATTCCTTTAGGATCCCAAGGTTAAGAATTGTCATTTTCATGCTGTGATTCTTCGACAACTAGTCTCAGGTTTTTTTCTTTAAATCTGCATTAGTAAATGGTGAGACGAATACTTTCGTCTCGTCCGTTTCGTCTCCATTTCTAAATGTAAATGTGGGGGTTTTCCGTGAAACGTGATCAGCTGTTTTTAAATGCCGTGACTCGTGATTGTGAAAAGTTAAAAGCCGTGAACTGTGAACGATATGTCAGTCGTGATAAGTGAAATAAAGAAACTATTTTCCGTTATCCGTGCTTACTGAAAAGAAAACGCATTTTTTTCCGTGAAAAATTACTTGCCGGAAATATGAAATCTCTTGACCAAGCCTGTTCGGTCAAGATGGCCGGATTGGTCAGCGTTCTATTGTTTTGAAATCTGTCAATTTGATGAGAAAAGCACATCAGTATGAAGATTTGTAGCCAATGCCGCTCGGCCTACATCTCACGCGAAAAAAACAAAACAAAACAAAACAAAAAACCCTGATTAAAATCAACGAGCGAGCCTGCAATACGCCATGAATTTTTGTCAAAGGATTCTCTGGTGCAACATTAAACGCTGTAACATCTCAATGTGGATGCACAAGCACAGTGAAACTATGGCATTGGACGTTTATTACATTTAGGACCAAATTTTATTACATTTAGGACTTTATTACAATTAGGACAAAACGTTATTGCATTTAGGACTTTATAACATTTAGGAAAGTTATTACATGTAGGACTTCAACAGGGTTTCTCAAGTTGTTATTATTGTCGATAAACATAGCAAATATTGATAGCGATGATTATCAGCAATTATCTCTAAATAATAAAGGAGTTCGACTCATTCCGTCGGTGGTCTTCAACCTGTTTGCCATGTCAGGAAACAAAACGCCAATTGCGGTCTTGGTGATCTTGGCTTTACTCCCAAGTGCAGTGGCACATAAAATATACTACGGAGGTAATGAATTAGATGAGATTTACTTAGTAGCTGCAAACTGACCAGCATTCTTTAAAAAAGTTCGATAAATAATTATGTCTATTAACGAGAAGTTTACTTTTTTCGCTGCCCTCTTCATTGTGGTCTCTGACTATTTTTTTAGTTTCATCAAACAGTCAGATAGTCAATAAGTTAGCTGGTTAAATTTGGGTGTTCAGAAGAATCTTCACAACCGTCAATAATAAGGGATTTGTTGTCGAGTTTAACGAGCTATTTCAAAAATGGGTTTAGCGAAATATTTATAAAGCTGAATTGTCAAATCTCTTCCCTACCCCAGCATTCTTTCTGGGGTTTTCCAATTAAGAAAGTCTTTCCGATTAGGACAAGTAAGGATATCTTAGTGAAATTTCAAGTGCAATATACTGAACATGATGATTTTTTTTTTGTTTTATTAAAATCATTTATTACTTTATTTGCTATTATATTTTATAATCAGGTAACGGCTACAACAGTGCTTCAGGTAAAATTATTGCTTATGTGAAAACTCTATTTAAGTGTTTCATTTTTGATATTGTACAAAAGGGGTTACGATCTTGTATAAAATGACATAATACTTTTTTATATAAAATGTGCGAGAGGCTCTGAATGCGGGTGAGCGATGGAACTTATACTCTGTTCAGTACGATTGGCCGGGCCATTCCAGACTGAAATAATAGACATATCACGCATGCAAAGAAAAAAACCCTGATAGACCCCGTGGGACATGATTGCACGAGGGAAAGATAAGTAGATGGTTACGGCCGGATGTGAAAGTTTACTTTCAGGAGAGGAAGATCAAAACGACCCTTTCTTCGTCTGTCCTTTCTGTAAGGTCGAGAGAACTCCTAAGCTAACAACTAATCTTTTCCAAAGGAAACGTTTTTAAGTCGATCAGCGATATCCTGTCTGGATAGAAGCCCCGCTCATCTTTCGAGTCTGGCAGGGCATCAAAATATTGATACATAAAACTGTGCCAAAAATATTGAACAACTTGCCGGCGAGCAAGGTTACGTAAGACAAACAAATATATCATCATTGAAACTGAAGTAAAATGAACGGGTGTTTCTCAAGTAGAATTACGTACATCTTCACGGCTGCAGTTTTACAGTAGCTCTTACCAAAAATCATCATACATCCCTGGCTGAAAACATCAGAAGCTATTCTTAACGTATTTAGGAGATTCTTCCTTACCGACGTCACAATACTTTTATAAATTTTTAATTACAATATCACATATTTTCGCTTCTGAAGAAATGCAAGACTAAGAGATGCCAAATGATTTATTTAGTCATCGTGAAAGACAAATAGAATTAATGAATAAATAAATGATTAGAGATATTGAGGTGTGTTCATGGTTTCCCATTTCGGTCAGTTGAGATTAATTTCATACAACTATTGTTAGTATTTAAGTATTGGGAAGAAATTCTGAAGGAATCCGATTACAGAGGATTTTTAGTGAACTTTGGTTGGTATTGCTTCCTTTTTGACTGCCTAGGTTGTCGAGATGACTACAGCTTTTGCCGATTCTGGGCATCGAATGTCATATACAAGCATCCCTTCGTGGAAACGAATTGTCGTAAGAGTTGTAACGCCCGTCAAGGTAGGAATAAGTAATAATTTTAAAATTAGAAAATAATATACCTAAGGCCTTGAATTCTATGTTCAAGCTCGATTGCCGTTTTTTTTTTGTGTGTTGTTGTTTTTTTTTTAATTTTACTTTTAGGAAGTATCAAGTGATTAAAAACATTTTTAGTGATGGAAAATTCTAATAACTATTGTGGAATGGTGAATTAGGTATCACATGATAGAACTTCCGAAATACTAAAATGTTACAAAGTAGTCTTCATCTGACTTAAGGTGGTCAAATCATGGGGACGTTCCGACATATAAGGTAATCCTGTCTGTAGGGGATCCCATTGTCACAGACCTCCCTTTTCTTTCAGCGCAATTTTACGCAGTTTGTAACTCGAATCAGTATATTGCAACATTCGATTCGTATTTTATGACAGCCTCTTATTTTGATGCTAATAATTTGTTGAAAAGGGATTATTTCTCATTAGTTGAAAAATCCTTTCACACCCTCAGTTCAAGGTGCCACGAAACCTTCTGGTAAGATACTCAGTTCAAGACATCGGGGGAACTTTCCGACATATGAGAGGTAATCATTCCTGTAGAGGATTCCGTAGTCACAGACCTCCCTTTTCTTTCAGCTCAATTGTACGCTAGTCCAAGGTCGTTAGTCCATGCTTTCATAACGTTCCGCATCGACTCTTGCAATAGCCCACTGTGTGGACTGCCAAACAGCCAGCATGCGAAGATTCAGAGAGTTCGGAATGTACCTAAGTTTTGTCACATTAGGCCAATAATGCGCGATTTGCACTGGTTGCCTATCATGGCATGCATCAACTTCAAGGTACTTCTCCTCACGTTTAAGGCGTTACATGAACTTGCACCTCTGTATCTACGGTCCTTAATTAGTATAAAGACATCATGCTATAATCTCAGAGGTTAAAATACTCTACTCCTAGCTATGCCATCAGGGAAATCTAAGGCCCCGCGAGGTGATCGGGCATTCGCTGTTGCAGCGCCATCATTGTGGAACTATCTGCCTAGTGAGCTTCGCTCAATCACATGTGTTATTAGTTTTAAAACTCATCTTACGACCTATCTTTTTAGTCTTGCATTTACTTAATAGAAATTTTATTAGCATATTATTAGCATTTTTTCTTTTTATGTAATATATACTTTAGTTTTTTATAAATTCTTTTTCTTTTGTTGTTATTATTTATTAGGAATGCGCATCTGATCATAGTCATGTAAAGATGCGCACTAGAAATGAATAAATTATTATCATAATTATCATTATTATTACCCAGTTTGTAACTCATATCAGTATAATTGCAACATTCGATTCATTTTTTATGACAGCCTCTTATTTTGATACTAATAACTTGTTGAAAAGGTATCATTTCTCATTGGTTGAAAAATTCCTTCACTGCCCCAGTTCAAGTTGACACGAAACCTTTTGGTGAGATACCCAGTTCAAGACTTGATTTTGTAACTTTGTTTTTTCCACGCCATTTTTCTTGATTTTTTTAACAAATTCTTTCTAGCTAAAGGTCCCTTTTATTATTTTGATCATTAAAAAAATTTACTAACTAAAGTGAAACACTGTCAACTCTTCGAACATATGCCTCCATAATAGATAGCCAGTGTTCGACAGTGACAAAGTTAAATCAGTTTGTCAACAGTTGAAAAAGTATTTTTTTTTTTCAGTTCGAACAACGCGATAATCAACAAGTTTCTCCTTTAGTGACAAGAAGATTCCAAAATGAAGTTAAATTCAACCGTCGATGTCTTCTCCTACACGCACATTCTAAGGCTATGATTATCCGATGAGCCACTGAGATTGAAACTGTCAAGAATGACAGACACTGAAAATTGACATGCCTCCTATTTTCAGGATCAAAGTGGAAAAATGGAGAGACTGGAATGAGTACATCTGTAGCTTTGAATTGTACACATAACTTCCCTGGTTGTAAAACTGACTATCCATTAACATACATTATAGTTATATAACTGTGAGGGCTGTGAGTGCAGCAGTAACCTGTGGCATGTGCTTCAATGGGTTACTGACTTCCTATATTCTCTCTCAGCTTTCTTCATGATAGCCTCTGACATTATGATGATTTCTGTGCCGATATTGATAACATTAATTTCGATCACCTTTACGTCGTGGAAAATCAACAGAACATAAACTGAAAATTTTTACCGTACCGCTGCGACCGTTGTTTCAAAAACTGTTGCCATGTCATTGTGGAGCACTGTGTTTGAATACTATGAAAATCATTTGTGAATTATTTTAATTTTTCGGAGTCTTCAGTTTACGGCTCAAAAGACTGGGGCAACGTCTCCCGAAATTGCACAGAGAGTGCCCAGTCCCCTATCAACATAAATGCAAGCCATTTTCGGCAATGTTTATACCTGTGCGGATTCAAGTTTTCTGTGAATACCTGGTGGATAAGAGCTCAACTAGTCAACAATGGCCGTGCCCCAACATTGAAGGTTGACTTAGGAACAGCTCTTTTTACTGGGGGTCCCTGGGGAAGCGGTAGATATAAGCTTGAACAATTACATTTCCACTTTGGTTGTACAGCCAAGAGAGGATCTGTGCACATCGTGAATAACGTTCAATACTCAGGAGAGGTACGCTCTCTTACTTCTATTTCATTTTATTTGACTTGCATAGACGAGTCTGCGATGGTTTGTGTTGAACAGACTGGACGGGACTCGGCCAAACTGGACTCGACCGCATTAGGCTAGATTAGACTAGACTAGACTGGATTGAATTGAACTGGCTGACTGGACTGTGATGGACTGAGTAAGACTGGACTAGACTGGATTGCACTAAACTAAACTGAATTGACCGGAATGGGCTGGGCTAAACTGGACTAGTCTAGACTGGATTGAATTGAACTGGCTGACTGGACTGTGATGGACTGAGTGGGACTGGACTAGACTGGATTGCACTGAACTAAACTGAATTGACCCGAATGGGCTGGGCGGAACTGGACTAGTCTAGACTGGATTGCGCTGAACTGGCCTGAATGGACTAGACTGGATAGGACTGAAACGCACTGAGCAGACTGGGTTTGATTAGATCGGACTGAAACACAAGTAAACAAGTCTGATGGCCTGACTGTAATTGGGGTTTTCCTTGAAGTAAGAAATATTTGATTTTTCAACTTGAGAATTGTTGTTTTTTTTGTTTTTATTTCTAAGATAAATATAAAGAAATTATGCTGAAATTCATTAACTTTTCTCTAAAATATAGGAGAAGAATTCGAGCAGAAAACAGTGGGGGTTACTGAGGTTAGCAGACAAAATGAGGAAGGTTACTGAGCCAGGTAAAACTACTTTCAAATGTTTCACCTCCTACCTCTTTTTTGTTTGTTTGTCTCTTTGTTTGTTTGTTTCTTTTTTCGTTATTCTTTGTTGACACTCCATATTCCTTTATTTTCAGATGAGAGCGTTGAGGACTTTGAAAAATTATGAAGAATGTCTCTTGTGCAACAACTATAGACCCGTACAACCGCTGAACGACCGCAGGGTTACCTTGTGCAGGCGATAGTTTTTTGGCTCATCATAATCGGTTCATTCAATAGTCTCGAGCGAAAGCTTAAAATCTAACATTGGGCTAACTAAGGCAATTTTGTTTTACCTGGCCAAAGTTAAGTTACGTACAACACATACCTGGCAATTTTTTGGGATCTAGTTTGAAAGCACAACCAATTTTTGGCAATTCGTAAATTAAATGAATTGATGGGAATAGCGTGGGATGTTTTGCACAACTCACTGGACTTCGTTTGAGGTAGAATAAGTTTATGTTCTTGTGGTTCTTGTATTCTTTATTTGGTAACCCCCTGTATGTTATTTAGCTGAAAAAATTATTCCCTGATCTAAATCCAAAGTATATCATTACATAAAACATATTGATGATTGTTTTGAGTTTAATAAAACGCTAAAGAATGCCAGTACTTCCATGCTGTCATGGAAAGAGGGTTAAACAAAACTCGCAGATACCCTTTTTCAGCACATTAAAGTGCTGAAGATCTCTCCACAAAATTTCTTCTAGGTTTCATTTCTGGCTGTTATTCCACCTGTTTCTTAGAAGGTGATGAAACATGAAACTTGCTTTTCGTTATGTGGGCGAGATCAACACTCGCCCACAAAACTAACCGGCTGGCGTACAAAAACGAGGAACAGGGGGAGTTAATTCGAGCCTTATCCAAACAATCTCGCCGTACCCTGCAATTTCACCTTTTCCTCGCCCACATGGATCGTCAAAGTAAGGTATTGTCTTATTTCTAGAATAGAAAATTATATTTTATGAACTTTCATCGTGCTTTGCTTTATAGAACTGTTCCTGATCCTACTGAAGTAGCTATGACTTCATTTGATGTCTAAGTCTGTCGTACTGGAATATAAAACCGGCTGATTTGATTATTCAGAAGCAAAAACACTTCAATCGAGTCATGTGTTTAGGAAGTCCCTCCAAAATCAATTCCTTACTATTTTATCATAATTCCAGTCTTTGAACGATAATAATCAAAATAAATACTATGATACTACCACTTCCACCACTTTTCAGAACAAAAACTAGCGATAAAAAACGACTTTTCAATCTCTATGAGATCATTTCCAGACTGTAGAAAAAGCGAATGAAATATACATATATTCGTACGAATTGGGGCGTGAGAATGTCTTATGATAACACATGTAAATAGAGGCGCTAAAATGTATGTATTAAGATACCAAAATGCTAAACTATGAAAATAACTTTGCACGGATTGAATTAGGCTGTTTGTTCAAAGTTGGCCTCAGCTCCTTTATAAAGTTCTACAGCTTGAAAATGATCTCAGAGAGAACGAAACGTCGTTTTTTATCGCTAGTTTTTATTCTGAAATGTTTTTCGAAAAAACTACTTCCCCCACTGTAAAGATAATCATCGGCAAGTGTATTGTTTTTGCTGCGAATGTTGAGACAGTTTATCTGAAATTTGTTCCACTAATAAAAATGAAACTTACGGTTATTTTTTAACGTGACCCCGTAAGATAAAATCAATGGATGACTTTTCTTTCGAACGTGAGTTCATTCTATCAACTGATCTATTCACTTCGTTTGGAAACCCTGCTATACGTAAGTAGTCAATTGAAGTGGTTGGTCGCATTATTTTATAAGGTGAGGCATCGTAATCCTGATGTCTTTGCTAGTTAGGTGTGTCAGTGTTATGCGCAAGTAGTAATCGGATTGTTCCAGACAAAAACATAAATAAAAACAGATTAGGCGTTTTCGGGTTTCCTTCGGATAGGTGAGTTCGGATTTTCATGACAGAATTGCGTTTGAGGGCCGCGGAGGAAAAACATAAACTAAACTATTGAATTATATTTACCTTAGAAACGCATGCGTCTCAGAATGTTTGTTTGCATTAGTTGAAATAACATTTTCCTTGTTTCTCAAGAGGCTACCCAGCAGATAAAATTTTCGTGAGATGACATCAGATTCACAAATTATTTTGGAGCTAATTGTTGAGACTACGTTTTCTAGACAAATTCAGGAAGAAATATGACTCAGAGAAATTTATTTAGAGCAACAATTTCGCTTCTTCCTGCGGTGCTAGACTGTGATCGAATTGCTTGGTGTGTGTGGAATAAATTTTTATTTTCATTTCATTCCAAAATAAGAACTTGATGACACACGCTCTGGAAGGCGTGATAGTGACATCACAACGGAAACAGCCGCACAGCCATTTTAGGTCAATTCAAAGGTGTCGCGTATCACAACAGACAAAGAATACGTAACTGTGGGGTTATGTAGTTGACAACACACTCTCCCAAATTCATTGTGTGAAGCCGTTGGCGAGTCAGGAGTATATTTTATGACCTTTCGAATCACGCCATTTATCATTCTTGTTTATTCAGTGGTTTGGATAAGATGAAATACCTCCAGAGTTTCTTTGTTTTACTTTTCCTTCATTATAGCTTCGGATACAAAGGTAATGTTACATTATTTTATATATTGACACTCTTGATGGTTAGACCGCGTTTTTGGAAAAGCTTATAGCAGTTTTAAGGAATATTTGGAATGTTTTACAGTTAGGTATGGTCTCGTAATTTAGTAAAAGAAATCTCGATGGGAGGACATGTGGTGGAAGAGATTACGAATTAACATTACGTGTCCATATGGCATTTTAGGCAGTACTACCTATTTTAATTTTAAATGATATTGGCATACGACGAAGTCGCCTACGATACGTTTTTGAATAAAATCATCTCGCAACGTCTCCATTGTTTCAGAAATACTTTTCGTGAAGAAAAGGTTGTGCTTATTCATCGAGGTAAAATACTTTTGTTTTAACATATATTTACCATTGGTAGCTTTCCTCTTACTGACCCTGACGTGAAAATTCATAAATACATTCTCAAAATAAGAAAAAAAAAAAAAAAAAGAAATATTTAAGGTTTTAATTCATAATTTCCCGCGTAAAATCGTTAACTAATTATGTCAACTGTGAACTTCAACAAGAGATATGCCTAAGTTAGTATCAAAGTGTTTTCAAAGATAACTCAAGTAGCCCAAGTTCCTGCTGGCTTCAAATGAAACAGGTAACATGAAACTATAAGAGACCATATGTTGACTTTCACGATAATTGATTTTCCACAAGTTTGGCTTCTCAGTCCAGTCTACGTATTAGATGAACGAGATATTTGATGTTCGGTGAATTACTTATATCAGATTCTCGAATCTTGTTTCTAGATAAACCACAACTTTTAGAGACATAAACTTAAAAAAATATTTAGTCTACGATAAACTAATGGACGTCCGTTGAGTGATTCAATGACTAAACCAGTTTTTGCTTATCATACTTGATACATTGCCATTGTTTATCTAATATTTATTAATTTTTTTTATTTTTGGCAATCAAAGTATTGTATTGGAAGCACCCCTCCAAGGATGTGCGTGACTCTCACCGTCACGCACACGCGAGAAGCAGGACTCCTTATCTATCGCATATTATGACAGAGAGAGTTCATATAGGCACCCATATGATATAATTACACTTTGGATACAGCATTAGAATACATAGGCAGTTACCTATCTACATTCATCGAACAGCGTATTCTATGTCGAATTTACGTGCTGTTTCGTTTAGCAAATAGGCGTTGCCTTTTGATTATAAGACTCGTGATTGAAATTAATTCCTTACAACGATTTCAAAATGTTAGCTTATTATGATTCAAACCAGTTTTTCAGAGGAATCGAAAAGAGAGAGAAGTCGTTTTCATGGTTTGTTAAAAAATCTGCTTACCTGAATCTGCTAACCTTTAGAGTGAGACTGTTTTTACGACCCGCCACAGAAGTGAGTTTCCAATCAGGTTTTCTGAATTTTGCTCCGCGATAAAGACTTGATTTGCGTTTTTCTGATTTCGAATTATAAATGTATTTCTTTAGATCGAATAGTTATTAAAGCTTGGATTAATATTATACGGTTTGTGGTGGTCATCTTCGCCGACCAGTTTCGAGTAAGGAAACATGTACGCTGCGTCACACAATCTCCGATTTTGTGCAAGATTGGCAATGTTTATTAATAGTTAATAATATAGCTGGTTTATTCACCGTATCTCCATCAAAGGAACACGGTTCTTTAACTGTAAAAATTGAATATGACTACAGTAATGATATCCCAAGTGTAAATACATGTACCTGTGGTAATAAAATAAAAAAGGATTAAATAAAAAATAGAGACAAAAAATTGATGAAACAAAAACTATATTTCTTGATACTTAATGTTATTGCTTCCCATGAACACTTCAGTTTAATACTTGTACGATCATAGACTATTTCTAAAGTGTTTCCTTACACTGCGGCAAAACGTATTACAAGTTCTTATCAACTTAGGGATATGAAGCTCAAATCCCTGGGAGAAGCAAGAGGATTGACCTAGGTAGTTCATATCAAAAAGATTCCGACATTATTCAACCTATTGCAACCATCCTCGAGCCACTGAGCATCATGGGGCATACCAAGAAGCTAACATAAACCATTGACTTCTTTTAACCGATTTATTCCAGAAGTGGATGACTTGGAACATGACTCAGCCACAAACAGAGAGGAAAGAGAAACTCAACTTCTTCAAGAATTAGAGGGTATGATATCTATCCGTTTTTAATGTCCTTTAGTTTTCAAACTAATGTACACTCAGCAGTAGTCTATAAATGTAGAAAAATGCTGTAACATTTTTATCTAGATATTACAAGTACTTTAGAAAGAACGGAATATGACGAAGATTTAGCAACAACAAAAAATGGCGTGGGTGATATTGAATCGGAAGGTAAGTTAGTTAAACATGCCAGTATAATTTTTTTGTACACATACCATGGGCATTAGAGTGGACAAGTGATGAGAAATAATCGAGTACTGAGGTGCAAAACCTCAGATCTAGAGGTAACAAAGTTTTACCACGACAGAAATTATAATTGACCTATTTTAGTTAACAACAAATCGTCAAATAGTTACATGACAATCTGTCTGAGTCGGTGAGATAGTTTTCATGGCGGCATTGTAGCATAGAAGTGTGTAAGCGTAAAATAGGATTCTAGGGTCGTAGGCAAAACCTACAAAAGGACTTGAAAACACCTTGAAAAAACAGACCCTTTTCAATTTAGGCACTGTGCCCGAACTTCGACAGATTCTGACAGAGCTGGAGAGCAGAGGAAATTCTCAACGAGGTATTTACTTTCACGGTAGAAAAATCAGGCTTAAAATAACGAATCAGTCCGATCGGTATCTTTTGGCATATTACCCTGGAGGGTAAACATACTGAAGATAATAACTAAAGGCAACCGTTTTGAAAATTGCATATACTTGAACGAAATAGAGGTTTAGAAAGATCACTGATGAACGAACTTTTAAACTCACAAACGGCAGACGAGACAGCATCATCTAAATTTCAACCACACGATTCTGTAGTCTGTTATGAAATAACTATTGATACCTTTAAAACTTTCCCCAGTAACCTTAACATTGTCGCACTATACGCAAAGCAGAAGCATATTTTGTTTTCCAAGGGTGCATTCACTTAAATCAGTGATGATTGAGATGGCAAGAACATCCTCTTAAAATGCATTTCCTTGCTATCGTTGTTTTTTTCTTCCGCGCAGACCAACAGCAAATTGCTTATGAGACGCTTGGGTGTTTCAAAGACAGCCAAGTCGATCCCAGACCCCTACCTGAATTACTAGCAGACTTAACAAATGAGGTGGACTGGTACGACCCCAACAAGGTTATAAAGAAGTGTGCAAAGCTGGCGACTGACAAAGGCTACACAGTGTTTGCTCTTCAGTTGTACGGACAGTGTAGGAGTGGAAAACATGCCGCCAAAACATATGACGGGGATGGATTATCTAGCGGTTGTAGTGTCGGTTTAGGAGGCAGGGAAGAGAACTTGGTGTTCAAAATCATCCCGCATGGTTAGTTTGTAACCTAATTTAGAATTGAACATGTTTTGGGAACATTTTTCACAAAGGCAGTTTTCCCCACACGTAAGGCGAACAACTGGAGGTCTTCATCACTGTTATCGATCATTGTTTTGGTCAACAACACACCACGACCAAAAAGAAACGAGTTAGTTTCAGTCAAAATACCAAAAGATAGTAGAAAAAATATATTTCTTTTGTTTCCACGGCTACTTGGAGGTAAATAATACTTGCTAATCACTTCCGAGCTGGCCAATGAGGCGAAAACTTTTGAATTGAAAGATATATATTAGAACTGACACAGCAATAAAAGGGAACAATTAATAGACAGAGCTGTTAGCATTGTTCCCAGTTTTCCTCCGTTATACATTTCTAAATGACGTTCCATATTCTCTGCCTGATTTAGTTTACAGGTTTATAGGTACCTACCTAACGAGGTATTGAAAATTTGAATGCTTGGAGTTCTGTTTGTAACAACAAAGATGATAGTTTATTTTCGTAGTAGCGGCGACAAATATTGACATAACATTATCATTTGTGTTGTTTATTACTTCCAAGAACCTACAACCGTAGAAACACCAACAGAACCAATAACGATTGCTTTGGGTACGTTTATTTTATGACTGTTCTTGTTCGTTATGAAGCATTGAACTTCCAAGTAAAAATCTTTTGTTTCATTTAATTTTAATCATTCCATTTTTTTTCACTTTATTTTATCACTTTTTCAAAATCACTCATTCTTTATCATTTATTCATTTTCTCTTCTGCCAAGAGCAGTTAATAATGATTGATATATATCCCTGATAACAAAACTCCAGTCGACAAAGATCAGACATAAGAATAAAACCTCTCTTTGTCCACAAGCCGATGTAGAAACATTTTAAATAAAATTTTCAAAGTTCTTTACCTCCATTAAAAACTAGCAAAACTTCGATTCATAAAATTAAAAGAAAAAAAAAATGCCCAAATTTGGTCACCTAAAATGTGTCGTTTTAACTGCAGAGTGTCAGAACTACATCGCCTTAACTTCAATCAATCGATCTTCAACATTCGACGAGCCACTCGGCTTATGTGATGACAAATTACAACCAGCATGGTACAGGTTCCTAGGGCCTGCTGGGTATAGGATGCCGACTTCGTGTGTCCCTGTACGTCACTGTGGTACTCATGCCCCGGGATGGCTCAACGATCCTCACCCAGCTGTGCATGAAGGGGCAGTAAGCCGTGACGTGTGCTTTCATTGGAGAAGTTGTTGTTCCTGGCGGAATTCTGTTTTGGTGCGTAACTGTGGAGCATTCTTTGTCTATTTCCTTTCCCCGACAATGACATGTAACCTGGGCTACTGTGGCAATGGAGAAGGTACGGTGAGCTAAGGACAGTTAATATTTATAGCTGATTGTTGAAAAGACTAAGTGTAGCCTTAGAAAAAACGAACCTAATCACTTCTAATTGCGAACAAGGTTAGCCGTTTCGTTTGGAGTTGTTGTAGACAGAGAGTGACACTAGGTCGCATAGGTTACGCGACACCAACAGTAATAACTTTGTAGGCGCCAGGATTACAAGTTATTACGTAGACTACTCGTCTCTTGTCGTGGTTTTAATTCGTCTTTTGCTAGCTTAGTTTTTGCGTCTTCGTAGCTTTTGTTACGTTTGTTAACTATTCTTATATTTGTGAGCAAAATTCACCACTTAACCCATCTTAACAATACCACAGTACTGCATTTTTAGTGCATTTGCTCCGCAGATATCAACTCCAATCCCAAAAATGTTCCAGCATTCTCTGCTTGCAATTCTTCGCCTTCAACACTCCATCAAACGACTCCTTAGCTACTCAGATTAATACATATTTCGAAATTACCTCGTTCCAGAACCGACAACTCCGCCTCGTGTAAGCACAATTGCGACGACTGAATCAGGTAAGAAGGCATTTTTGAACATTCATTTAATACTTTGCCAGACTGAGTTAATTTTTGTCAATCCTATCTTATAAAATGTCACTTCAATAACAAAGCTTATTATCGAAGACTTTTTTCTTCGTATACCTGTCGTTAAACTTATTCTCGAGGATCCTCGATTGAAAAGAAACCTTAAAGATAAGCAAATGAAAGAGTTGAGGAGAAAATATTTATATTGAGGATTATTTGAAAAAATAGTTAAAAAATTCTCCAACAGCTGCGCATTCAATGTCAACTGCGTTTTCACAGAAACTATGACTTCTGCACCGACCACAAAACCAACAACGGGACTGAAAGGTGGAGAGACTCCTAGCGCTGTTATGAGTTTTGTTTTTTCCTTTGTCTTGGCTGATGTTGTTGATTTTGCAGTTATTGGTCTTGTTTTTCTTCTTCTTCGCGTAGCTTATTAATTGAACAAGGCACAAGAATGTTATCTGTTGAGGTTTACATTGTATTCCACTTTCACAGAAAAGATTGAAAGGAATTGTCAATATTGCCGGATGAAATTAGCCAATAATTCACTCAAAGCTTCACTTTTCAAATCAAGTCTTGTCTTTTCACAGAAACTACGACATCTGCAACGACCACTAAAACAACAACGGGACTGAAAGGTGAACAGATAATAAACAACTCCTTTTGTCGTTGTTGTTGCTACTTTAACCTTTGTCGTCGTTTTTGCTGTTTTTCTTCCTCTTCTGTTTAGTCCTCTAATCATTTTTCACGTAGCTTTATGATTGAAAATTAAGGTACACGAATCTTTTCATTCTTACTTTTTCGCAGCATTAGGCTTTCAAAGACTAAATTGCAAATAAATCTTCGAAATGGAGGCTTATTTGACATAACAATCCAAGAATTCACTGAAAGCTCGATATTTTACGTCAAACTTGTCTTTTCACAGAAACTACGACATCTTCGCCGGCCACTCAAACAACAACGGGACAGAAAGGTAAACAGAAAATAAACGAATCTTGTCGTTGTCGTTGTTGTTCTCGTTGTTTTTCTTCGCTCTTTTCCTCTACTTTGAGTTTCGCAGTAATTGAACAACGAACGGTTAATAACATTTTCTGTTAAACTTAATGTCGACTTTGGGCTCTCAGAGGCTGAATTGCTCCGTACATGTATCTTATAGGTCCTTTAAAATAAAGCCATTGTCTTCAGTGGCACTTATTATTTTTTGAAACGTTGCAATATTGTTTTGTAAATTGTTCATTTCCATCCTTATTTTTACAGAAACAACCACCTGGCCGTCAACCACCGAAACTTCGACTACTTCAGGTAATTTGAGAGTAAAAGACATCTTTCCTTAAGTGAAAATGAATGTAAACTACGCAGCGTTATTGTTGATGTTGCAGTTGAAAGAGAGTGGAGTCAGAGCCATCATTGAGGAGATAGAGGAATTTTCATATGTGTGTTGAAAGTTATCCACGATTGCATTGGTTAAGCTTTACTTCGCTTTTGGATTTGTTGAAAACACTAGCGCCACTCTCTCAACCAATCAGAATCATAATTTACAGCAACTGCAACTTTGTCACGCGCGTTTTCCCGCCTTTATCAGCAGTTAGCGTGAGTTTAGCTCAAAGGTCATCTGACACTTTTTCTTCCTTGTCTTCTCTTTCTTCGCCTCTTTAGCTTCGATCACCAGCACGACCTTGGTGACAAGTTCCAGTCCAACTTTTCCAACAACTCCTGCAACTCCCTTAGGTAAAACTTCCTCTTTTGTTTGTTTGTTTCTTTGTTTGCAATACCTCCTTTTTTCATCCTTCATAGTAAAACCTGCATGTGGTTTTTGCTTTAAGTTATCACTCTGCCTTGCAATCATTCAATAAATTTAACTTCGATTGCTTTTTCTTATGTCTCTAAGAATGTCTACGCTACAAATTCCTCAACGAGTCAACCAGAGCTATAACATATTCAAGCAAGAACCGTCAAGCGCTATGTGACAACAGACTGCCAAAAGCCTGGTACAGATTTGGTGGGAGAGCCGGCGACAAGATGCCTGAGCACTGTGTGGACAAACTTAGCTGTGGAACCCATGCTCCCGGCTGGTTAAGCAGAAATCACCCTTCAGTAGCAGACGGGATTGTTGAAGCCACTGTTTGTTTTCACTGGGGATCAAACTGCTGTTTTTGGTCATTGCATATCAAGGTTCGGAATTGCGGAGAATTCTTTGTTTACCAGTTAAAACAGACTCCCACCTGCAGCCTTCGTTATTGCGCAAACAGACAAGGTAGGGAAACGATAACAGGGAGGCTATTCTGAAAGCAAGCCGTATCAATAAAGACCATGCACAAGCTTGTATTATACTGGAGCTAGTTCAGTTGATTTTCCATAACACGAGGTGACTAAGAGTAGTTCTCCCATTAGATGGGATGCGCGTCAGTTTATCGCATCTAATTAACATCCGTATGTCATGGAATTTTCCCCCTGAAAATTGTTTGGTACCGCGACATCTATACTAGCTTTTGATTGGAGGGAGGCCCTGTGAAAGCACATTTTCATACTTACAAATGAAACGCAATTGCTTAACCGGGGCTTAAAAGCGAACCCTTCAATCTGGAGTCACATTGCACCTACACACCTCACATATTTCATAATTCACACACGATCTTAGTGGATATGATACCGGCACCTCATAATTAATATGACTTTTTACATAAGTTGGCTTCTCTAACTTATTCTGAATGGATCCCTTAATCCGGAGGTTAACGCCATAAACCTCAAGTGATTGTTTATCTCAGAGCTAGATAGTTTTGCGTGTTATTTTACATACGAGATGACTAAGAGGGTGATGACGTATTGATCACTATATCCGACCGGCTTAGAGTGTATATATATATCTTATTAACCAAGCGCGAGGGCCGTACTGGGAGAATATCGGCCCGAGGTCTTGACAGTACGGACCGAGCGCAGCTAGGTCCGTACTAAAAAGACCGAGGGCCGATGTTCTTCCAGTACGGTCCCGAGCAAGCTTGGTTAATAAGAGATTTATTATACGATTGAAGTTCAAAGGGACACAAGTGCGGTTTCATTCGG